TGTGCACATAAAATATACTTCAACAATATCAATTTTCTTGTAATTATTGTGTTCTAAAGTACTTTTTGTAGCATTAAAGTACTTTTTCTAGCACAAGCCTAAGTTGCCCAATGAAAACAAATGTCTGAGTGAAACTGGACTGTTAGGATTTCTTTAAACTTAGCATTAGCAGCAGTTTGTGTTTTCTCAGGTATTGTTAGGAAGATTTTCATGTTACACTAACATTATATGGTTCTTTTTGCCAAAGCAAAGCAGCCTGTAGGAGTACAACCTCTGCCCTGTATTGATATTTTCTTCATAGAACAGTGACAAGCTTTGAAGAAAGAAAACAGAAATTCCTGGATATTGAAGGTTTTTAAAAAATTTTCAGTGCTCACATTTTTTTAGTATTTTTACCTCAGATTTGTTTTTGGTAGATTTCCCAGTAGGCCGATATACTTGGTTTGCTTTTTACATGTTTGTTTAATGTTTGATAATTACTTACACAAGAAACTGTGGCAGGAATTATGAAAGTTTATCAGATTTGGGTTTGAAACTCTAGGAAGACGTTTTCATAGGTTTAGTAAGGCATGTACGTAGATCATCCTAACATGGAGACAAAAGATCTTGTCAGAAGGAAGATGCACTGACGTGGGTGTTAGTAGGCCAGTAGTGGTTCTGGCCTAATAGATGAACTCACTTATGTTTGGGTTTTAAGAGGCAGGGGTTTGTGGCAATAATAACAAAGTACACAAGAGTAGAGCCCTCACTAATTCGTAGGTTACAGTTTGGTAAATCAGTATTGTATAAACTTTTTGATGGCAGGGACACGGAAAATGAACTTGTGTCTCCTTTCTTGTGTTTGTTTTTTCCCTTCTTACCCTTCTGTCTGCTCCCATCCTGTGGTGATGGAGTTAAACCTGTTACCAATCATTTCACTTTTATGTTGACATTTCATTATAATAGTAGGAAATTATCAATTGTGAATTATTTTAAGGGATTGACTTATTAATCACATTCACTGCTTTTCCTACTTGAAGGTATGCATTTACCTAAATTTATCTCAGATTAATCAAAGTACAACAGAAGTCTGAGAGTTGTTTTTGTTGTTGTTGTTATTGTTTAATCATACAAAGCCATTGACTTTTTTAAAAATTTATATTTATTTTTTCCTGTTCATACATTGTGAAGTTTCTAACATGCTTGGGTTTTCTTATGAACTTACATATAAGTTTTATCTATTGATCAATTTATAGAAAAAAGAAATTCCCCATTTCACAATTCTGCTGTTTCATAGTGTTTGTTCCTACATATACATTCAAGAAATGCCTCCCTTTGAACATATATTTTGATGATATTCCTTCTTATGTCCTTTACTATAGAAAGTGGAAAAGGATGTTTAGTGAGGCAGGAAGTTTACTGTTTTTCTCCATTCTAGTTAGTTTGTGAAGCTATGCTTTGCTTACATTTATGTGCATGTTCATCACACACACACACACACACAAGATAAAGTGAAGCAAGGAAAAGTCAATAGAGAGACTGTAGGTTTTATTCTTAGTCTTCAAAGTATAAAAGTAATAGCCATAAAGCTAAGGTAAAGAAAGGAGACTGAGAATATGAAAATAGGGAGCCAGTAATATGTTCCACAGATGGTATTCTCCCTTCAAGATGTAGCCAGCTATCTCATTACAAAAAAATAACTTAAAAAGTTTAATTTGCCTAGAAATCAAGAAACAGAAATTTATAAGAAAAAATATAGATCCTAATCTTTTTTTCTTTTGAAATTTTCTTTGTACATGTATGCATAGTATTATTTGGGATCATGCTCTATATTATTAACATTTTGCCTTTAAAAAAATAGATGGAGGTACTTATTTAACTGATATGTCCAATATTTTTAAGGTCAAAATAAATATTTTTAAAAATATACCCAAATGTAGTATAGGGGTAGACGATGGTGGGAACAATGAATTTCCTAAATTCTCTTCTGAAATGAAAACTGTGACCTAGTTCTATGACTCAGGGAATAAAATTAATAGGAAAACATCAATTCAAGATATAATTATGAATTTTAAAAATGCTGAAGAATAAAATTGACTTTAATTGGACCAAACATTTAGCCTATAATATCTACCTTCTGACCAAAAAATAGTCCGGTGGTTTTAAGTGGGTTCCTTACTTGGTATGTCACAATGCCACAAATAAGCAAGTCCTGCTACAGACATCACTGGCTGCCAACACCATCTGGAATATCTCACAGATGCCAGGTGAAAGGGATTTATGCATGTCATATGTGAACATTTTAAGAACAATTTTTAAAATGAGCGGCTTGATTCATGAAAACAGAAGTTTTCTTCATTTCTTTGACTTTTCTAATGTGAAGCCCCTAATCTGTTTTTTTTCTATTAGTTGATAAAGTATTACAATTGGAAATATTAGAGTATAAAATTATGAAGTTGGAGAATGATATGTAAATGTTAGTTTTGATTTGATTTCTTCTAGTGGTAACTGTGATTATTGTATTGTTTGTGGCTGAAACCTGTAAATGCTTCAGATGAGAAAGTGAAAATCAATAGAGCACCCTTTCGATAGTGTGTGCCTCACCAGACAACAAATTTCTTTCTAATTGACAATGTCCTTAATTAACCATTTCCTTTTGAGTGACTTTCCCCAGCAACCATTAACTACCTATAGCTACATAAAAAGTGGTAGGCTCTGTGAGCTTCTCCCCATCTGTGATGGCATGTTGATGGCATCTACTTCTTATTTTGAAGCAGAGTCTCATTTTGTTGCCCTTTCTGGCCTTGGACTCATGCTATAGTACAGTCAGGTTTTGAATTTGTGATCCTCCTGCCTCAGCCTCCCAAGTGCCTAGGATTACAGGTCTGCACAGTTCATTTTTAAAGCATCTATTTATTTTTGATTTTTAATATAATATTTTTTTTTTCTTCAGATAGGGTCTCATGATGTTGCCCAAGCTGACCTGAAAGTCAATGCATAGCTGGTCTCACATTTGTGATCCTTTCTTCCTACCTTAGCCTCTGGGGTGCTGGATTTTCAGGTGTGTGCCACCACACCTAGCACTGTTTTAAATTACTATTGTACAATTTTCATAATAGCTGTATCACTTTATATTTCCAACAACAGTGCTCCAGGGCTCGGTTTTGTCCACATCCTCACTTAACTTGCTCTCTTTTGTCATTTATTATAGCCATTCTAAGAGATGATATTCTAAGAGGTAATATTTTGAGATGATATACTAACAGATGGTACATTTCTAAACATTTATTTTTATAATTTAAATGTTCTAATGAGAATTTCCTACACTGTATTTATATCATTAGATGGTACATTTTGAGAGGACTTATCTGTTGTGAGTTTGATTTGCATTTCCTTGAGATGTTGAATGTGTTTTCTTATGCAGTTAATCCTTCAGTCCCTTAAGTACCTTTTACATTTTGTTTTTTTGTGAACTGTTATATTTAAGTCCTTTGCCTACAACTTGCCTCCCCACTCCCACCCTTTCTGTTGGTTGGTTGGTTGGTTGGTTGGTTGGTTGGTTGGTTGGTCGGTCTTCTTGAGACAGTGTCTTCCTGTAACCCCAGCTGGCCTGGAACTCCCTGTGTAGTCCAGGCTGTCCTCGATCTCACAGAGATCTGCCTGCCTCTGCTGGGATTAAAAACATGCGCCACCATGCCTGTCTGTTTGTTTGAGATAGGTTCTCTCTGTCCAGGCTAGTCTTGAGCACTTGGGCTCAAGTGATTCTTACATCTCAGCTTCCAAGCAACTTAGACTGTAGGTGCCCAACATATCTGCTCATTTTTTAATTATTTTGTTGTTAGTGAGAAGATTTACTTACTTATTTTGGCTATTAACTCCTTATCAGGCTTGTTTTCTGGTTTGCAAACATTTTCTCCCATTCTGTAGGGTGTCTTTAGTCTGGAACATTGTTTGCTATGTAACAGCTTTTTAGTTCTATAAAATCTTGTTTGCTTATTTTTCCTTTGTAGTGTGTAGATATCCAGTTTTCCCGGTAGTTGCTTATTGAAGAATCTGTGATTTCCTTACTATGTAAAAAGTTAACTTTGTAAAAAACTAAATGATTCTGAATACATGAACTTATTCGTGTGCTCAGTTCTGCTGTAGTGGTGGATGTCTGCTTATATGCCATGAGCACCATGGTGTTTTGGTTACCATGGATTTGTAATATGGTTTAAAATCAGGAAATGTGATATTTCCAGGTTTTTTTCTTACTCATGATTGAATAGACTATTCAAGGTCTTTCACGGTTACTTACAAACTTTGGAATTGCTCCCCACCCCACCATATTTCTGGGAAAAATGACACTGGAATTTTTATAGGAATTGCATTTGCTCTGTAGATCACTTTGGGTAATATGGACATTTTTACCTGTATTCTTTAAATCTGTGAACATAAGCTGTTTTTTCATTTGATTGTATCTTGTAAAAAAATATCCTTTCACATTTCATAGCTTCAGCTTAGATACATTTCATCTTCTTGATTAAATTTATTTCTAAGTACTTGTTCTTTTTCATTTCATTTTAAATGATATTTTTCTTAATTCCCTCTTCAGATAGTTTCTCCTCCTCCAAGCCCACCCCCACCCC